TAGTTGAGCAGCTTCTGATATCACTGTAGTTAAAGAAAAAACTACAGGTTAACAACATACAAGTGATAAAACAGAAAGCTGAACTTGTCTCAACAATACCAAACTCTACTATACTCTATTACCAAATTTACAACCTTTATAGCTTAATTGATATTCAAATACAAAACCATATCTTATTACTTTACATATAACTAAACAACTCTCTAACAGCCCTATCAATCAAAATTATAATCCAACATCTTCAGAATGCTATACTATTATCTAACAACATTTTACTTACTTCTAATTATATATTACCTACTAAATTTTACAATATACTTACAGCCCAAATTATTTAAACAGCACATCAGCTTAATATTAATATAAATAATCTTTCCAACCTCTGGCCTATACTAACTATATTCAAAAGCACCCCAATTGATACACTAATTAAATTTTACAACAAACTAATACATATTAAATCATTAACTAATAAAGCAAACATCTATGATATCAAACAACTTACTAGTCACACAAATACACAACTAGTTCTATAGCAATGCATTGTGTATAAAATACTTAAATACCTAAAGGTAGAACTTCAAAATGGTTTCTTGAATTACACAATACCTTCTATATATCTACAATAGTATTTATCCTTAATATTATTTTCAACCTATTTACTACAAATTTTATTATACTAAAAAGAAGCATCTGGGTCCTAAAAAAAACTAACAACACTCAAATTATAGACAAAATATAAAAAACTATTTATACAAATAATACAATATATATTAAATACTATCACTTACCACTACCAGAGCTTTAATACATAGCTCCATTGTTGAAATGTCTGAACTGCAAAAACACTATTATTACTACTAATTAGCAATACATAATAATAATTAAAACATCTCAGTGCACTGCTATCAAAGTGTCTAGCTCAAAATACAGACATTCATGACCTAGCACAACATCATCCACATTTTACAACACAAATATTACCACAGCATCAACATAAAACACCAACTTCATATTCTACTATTGTTTCAACCAACAAATATAATTCTCAGCTATCAACTATTTCAATATCTACAAATAATTTAATATACTAATTGTTTTTACCAAATACATTTAATACATATTTATCTTATTTTTTAACAATTAACTCTCAAGCCAAAAAGCTTCAATTATATCTTCATGCAACTATAATTCAGCTGAATACTCCAAGCTCATAGGCTCAATTTGCCTGGACCCTTGCACTTATTAATATTATATTTTCTTCTCAAATTACATACTGGCCATCTATTATATGAGCATACCTTATTGGTAATATAACAATACTAATTATTGCTTCACAACATTGCTAAATAAAGTCTTTATGACATACAAATTAATAACTAACTATATTAATTCACTTCTCATACCAACATCAAACACAATACTTATTTTACAAAAACATAATCACTGACCACTTAAAATCTTAACACAAACAATAATCACTTGCAAACACTTCAAAATCAAATGTATTAATATAAAAAATCCAGATAATCACCATCTTTACAACAGAACAGTTCATCTTTCTACTACAACACAACAATATAAACTTCATATTTAGCTTTATGTCTTGGATAACAACAACTTTTATCTTATTTGGAATGGAACACCAATAGAAAATAAAACTTGCTGCTTCATTCATCACCTACAAAATGCAACTAATACTGCAAAATGGCATGCTTTAAATAGAACAAGCCATTGAAATACTATTTGTCAAAATACTAACTGAAATCTGATATACCAATTTATAAATTACAATAACAAACCTAATACTCATCCTAAGCACTCATAATTAAAAAGTTTTAAAATTAAGTTTCTACCAAATGAGTTATCTACACTTTTAAATTTACATTACAGAAAACCTAAAACTTATACTAATCTATTTTGCAATCACTACACATTATATATAGAAGATAACTCATACTGGCTTGAATGTCAGACAAACTCCATAACTCTCAATCAATTAGTTCAACAAACTATACACAAGTTCTGTACAAAACACAAAATAGAAAACAGCAATATACCTGTTCTATTGCAGCAATTCACTTTAATACAAAATACTACTTAACACTTTCTTTGAATACAAGATCTAATTTCAGATAATATATTCACAAACTGCAACATTACTTCAAGCTTATTTATTAATTTATTTCACAAAATATCAAGTAATATATATAAGCAAATTTGAACAAAAAGATGCAAAGCAGTACATTAAAATAATTTATTAGCAAATACAATTACAGTTATAACACCTGAACATCCAGTTACAGATCAAGCAGTTAAAACAAAATATAAAAAATGGACAAATATTTTTTACTACAAACATATCTACTTTTTATATAGCAACACTAAACCTAGAAGAGGTCTGATAACCTACTTTAATAGAGTTTTGAGCTAAGGATAAATTAGTTCTAGCTATAGGTCCCTGTAATAATTTATGTAAAACATTTTAATTAATGTAATACCAAATTGTTCAATAAAGACTAAGACCAAGCCTCACTCTATAAAAAAAAAAAAACTATTGTTATTAAGTCTAATAACTTAAATTCTATTTTTTTTAATTCTATTTGTAACTCTATCTATATCTCTTGCCAATAACTTGCTAAAACTTCTACTAATACTGAATTATTTGCAACATATTTGAATACTTTAAATAATAAGAAAAAGCAATTTAAATCTGAAATTCAAAACTTAATTATTTAATACAAATATGTTTTTTCTAAAACTTTACCTGATCACTTATCTCTTAAATGAAATCTTGATTATATTATTAAATTAACACCTAGTACTAAACCTTCACATCAACTAATTTATAGTTTATCTTATAATAAAACTAATGAATTTAAAAGACAACCTGAAGATTGTTACAAAAAGATTATATCTAAGTACATTTTTTTTGATGATTCTGTACTTTTTGTTTACAAAAAAGATAGAACTTTAAGATTCTATATTAATTACAAAATTTTAAACAAAATTTGAATTAGAAAGAGGATATTTCTAAAACTGCTTTTTATACATACTATGTATATTATGAATTCTTAATCTTACCTTTTGATTTAATAAATGCACCTGCTACCTTCATAACTCTTATGAATAATATCTTTAGAAAATTTTTGGATCAACCAATTAGAAGAATCATACCAGATTCAGTCTGTTCGATGAATGTATCAAGGACACCTATTAAGTATCCCTTCTATAACAAGTGTCATGCATTGTTAATCTATTTTGTATAAGTACCTATCAGATACAATTTATTCAGAAATGCTATAGTGCAAAGAATTAATTATCCATTTGCTGAAAAAAGGACTATTTGTTAAAATGAGTAAAATATTTGGAATTATTTTTGAATCTTCATTACCAGTTTCTTTAAAAATCGATCTATTTGTTTTTGCAGTTTCTTTAATAAGTCGTTAAAACAAAATAAATGATGTTGTCCTATTTCTATTGTTTCTATAAGTATGATTTTATAGATACATTTCAATAATAACACATTAGTTTTCATGATAAGGACTCTTCAGATAAAATAGATACATTGATTCACAAAATGCATCTATTTTGACAAAGTTAAACACTAAATATTAAGTTATTATCATATGTAGATAAATGGCCCTAATATGAATGTCTTTCATGGCATCTGGCTTCTAGTTAAAACTTGTAATGTTATGGTTTTCATAGAAGAAGTGTCTGATAGTTTAATAGTTTGTTGTATTTTTTGAAAAAATAGTATGAAATTTTCATAAAGTATATAGAAGTATTGAATTTGACCTGATAAGAAAGTATGCTGTAAACAGACTCTTTCAAAATTTCAAAGGCAAATATAATTCCAATTATGACTCCAATATTGGGGTTTAAATTTCTATAGAAGGTTTTTCAAAAACAAAGAATTCAATGAAAAAACAAGTTTTTCAACATTGAAAAGTAATTGTAGATTGTAGCAGAGTATCCTAATTATGTTTAAATCAGATTCGTTTTTCTCTAATTATATTTTGATTTACTGCATATATTATTAATTTAACTCCTTCTTAAGCATCTTTCTCAAACTAGCTTTAATTAACTTAGGAAAATAAATACAACACTAAAATTCTTCCATCTAAAGAATCTTAGTCATTCCCCTTAGAAATGCCTGGCTTAATTTCTTGCTTCAAATCTTTCATGTAGCTTGAGAATGAGTATACCGGAAATAATGGTATGTTAATTTGAAAGACTGTTAGTTTTTAAATGTGCCAAAATATCAATGAATGATTTATTTAATTGCTAATCCATCTATAATAGCACCGTTTCCATATTAAGAATTGGGGTAAATTTACTATTAAATTTACTATAAAGTGGAATCTAAATCTTTGCTAAGATAAATAATTTTTTATTAATTAAATATTACTTTAGCTTCTAATAAATGTTGTAGAGAATAATTTTACGATTCTAATAGTGGTAAAATCGTTAAAATCGACTTACTATGTCATGAGATATCATCAAAAAACTTTTCCTGATTATATAAAATTTCTATGTAAACAACAATGTTGTTTATCGAAGTTTTATATGAATGAAAAAAGGTTTTTGATGATATCTCGTGATATAATAGGTCAATTTTAACGATTTTACCACTATTAGAATTACAAAAGTATGCTCTACAACTTTTATTAAACACTAAAGTAATATTTAATTATTAAAAAATTATTTATCTTAGCAAAGATCTTAGATTTCACTTTATAGTAAATTTAATAGTAAATTTACCTCAATTCCTAATATAGAAATAGTACCAAACAGTGCTGATTATAGACGGATTAGCAATTAAGCCTATTAGTAAAAATGAGTCAAGAAGTATTTTGAAAGCTATTGTACTATTTGGAAAATTCTCATTTTCTATCAGCTGAATTAGATCTACATATTTAAATTTTGTTTCATCCACACTAATCCACTAGCAACTTGTGATTTGATCCAACAAAAAGTATTACATTCCTAAAAAAATGATGCTACTTTTTTTACATTATTTTTCTCATCTTCATCTTTGTGTTCTTCTGTATATCTGAAGACATAAATATAGTGTCAAGTTAACTTGTTCAATATGAAACAGTTCGATATATAGGAAAGTTGTTCTAATTCATCTTCAATTATCTGACAAAACTGTTTGGTTAAAGTACCTTCAGCCTTTTTCTTCTGGTAGTGCAAATAATAGTGTCAATTATAATCTTATACAGCTTAAAGTGCAAATAGATGGCGCAAAGAGTTTTCTTTATGATATCTAATAACATATTTCCATACTATGAAAAAAAACTGCAAAGTATATTACTAGTCAAGTGAATAGTATTTTTTACATTGTAAAATAATTAATCATGGAAAATTTATTTCGTGTAGAATTTATACAAATTTGTCCTTACGTAATATAATCGAAAAATTAAAAAATCGAATTTTGTTAATTTGTAATCATTTATAGTGATGTTGAAAATTGATATGAATTGTATGATTGGTTGATTGTTTTCTGAATTATGGTTGTTTATGAACCATCATGAAACTGTTTATGAAAACATGATAAAAATAAACAATCTGTTTGTTTTGATTTGTTAATTGTATACTCACTTATTTAATATTTTAATATAGTAACATTGCACAATATTATTGGATGTTCACATCCTATATACTATATATTTTAATATTAAAACTAGGGTCTGCAACCTGGGCTCATGCCCATACTCAACAAAAGGCACAGGCATGGGCATGAGCATGGGTATAGGCACAAAAAATTTGGCATAGGCATAGGTATAGGCACAAAAATTTGGCATGACATAGGTATGAACACAAAAATTTGGCATGGAGATGGGCACAAAAATTTGGCATGAGCATGAGCATAAACACAAAAATTTGGCATGAGTAGAGGTTTGCAAATGTTCATGCCTGGCACATTGGCACCAGGCCAGACACTAGTGCCTTATGCTATGCCTATGCTAATAGGCACTAGAGTGCCAGGTACTAGCAAATGCATGAGCACAAAATGCTAAACACAATATATCAGGCACAAGTGCCAAGCAAAGTTCCAAGCACAATTAATAATAAATATCAAATTTTTGTATGCCTATGCCAAGTTTTTTGTACCTGTTCCTGTGCCCATGCTTATGCAAATTTTTATACCTGTACCTATAGTTGATGATAGAATTTTACAAATTAATATGATTATGGTAAATGCCATATTTTGTGTTGTAATTTCACTAAGTCATAATGCTATAAAGTCATAAAGCCGTAATGCCATAGTGCCATAATGCCATAATGCCTTAATACAGAAATGCTATAATGCTGTTTGTTGAAATGCTGTACTGCATTATGTACTTTTTTTTAAATAATATACTGTTAATTATTTTTCAAATTTGATTCTGTCAACTTCATTGATTTAATACTGTGCATATAACAGCTGAAAAAAGGGGTTTGTCAGATCTATTGTTTGAGAACAGCTTTAGTGATCTAATTGATCAGATATGACATTTTGCTAGATTACAATAATAGTATATACATGTAAATATGGTATAAATATTTAATAATTGTTAATATGACATAACTCATAAGTCTTTATAAACATGATTTTTAATTGAAAAATTTGTTGTAGCACTTTTAATAACAAATATGAAAAGCAAACAAACAGTTAAGTAGTATGATTAATGACTCATAAATATTTCTATTTTTTATTTAAGGTATAACAGTTGTAATTACTAGATAGTTTATATGCTCTTATATAATTAAACTTATTTTCACAATCAGCAAACAATGTCATAGAGAATAAAGAACCAACATCTTCTTTTCCAATTCTTTTAACATTATCTAGTTAATTGAATGGAATCTGTTATTATATGCAAAGACTTTAAGTTGAAATACCAGAAACAGAGTAATAAAATAACAAAGTATATGGTTTATATAAGTAACAAAAAAGAAAAACTTGTATATAAATTATTTCACTTATTATGTGAAATGATTTACAAGTTTTTCTTTTTTGTTACTTACTATTGTAAAAGTCGAAACTGCTTACCCAAGTAGTGCTATGCACCTGATATAGCACAAAATTTCTTTTTCTTTTATTTGTTCTATTTTTTTTATTTTTGTTATTTATGCTATTTTTCAAAATGAGTAGATTGACCAAATCGATTAAATAAAGTAAAAAGAGTTGATCCATATGAAAGACAAAATAGATAGGAAGGGTAAAATAAGAGCAAAAGTATATTTAAATTGGATATATTTTTTATATGAATATGTAAAAATAATATATAAAAACAATCAATTTTACTTCAAATAAAGAACAACTCAGGTTGAGTTCAAAGTTTCCAAAAGTCTTAAGTAGTATAAAGTATTGTACTCAAGATAGATTTTTGCTTATAATAAATATACTAAGAATAATCCAAATTCATATTGTCTTGTCTCTGTGATTATAAAATTGTAACCTTTAGTTTAGAAAAAAATATAAAATTAATTGAATTCCAATTTAAGACTCATAAATATATAATCTATTAAAGTAAGTAAGTTAGTAATCAATGTTATCAAATCCAAATACTAAGATTACTTACCCTGAAATTATTGAAATTTATGTTCTCGTGATTCAGATTCTATGATTCACATCTGAAAAATTAAAAATTGAATAAGATACTATAGTAAAAATTATAGTAAGGTATTAAAAAAATTAGAATTAAAAGTCTAATACTTATTTCTAAAGATTCCAGTACAAGAGATAAGCTGCAGCAATACATAAAGGGCTTAAAACTTGAACAAAGCTTTCATGCCTTAATTAAAACCTGCCAAATTAGAACTTTTGGTATATTATATAGTAGATTTTAGTTAGTGTATAGTCTTAGGTTCTTGTATAACTATTCTGAAAGTCAAGTTCTATCTAGAATTAGACACAACTTTCTTACCATCTAAGTTTGATTGGTTCACATAATTTATTTATCAAATTTTGGTTATTTTTAACACATAAATTCATCATGCATTATTTTTCACATAATGCATTCAAATATGTAATTAGATAGTATAATTTGAATACAAAAAAAATGCAACCAAGTTATTTCATAGTTGTGATAACAAATAAGTAGTTGCACAATATTGTTGTATAAAACTAAAAACAGAAGAAATCTATGCAAACACTAACCTATTTACAAGATTTTTCTGTCATGTAATCTCTTGTCAATTAGATCAAAGAAGCAGGTATAATATAAAAATTATGTCTTTTTAAAAATTGCTATTAACTAAAATTTTAGCTATGAAAATACTTCTGCATTCTAATAAAAAAAATTCTTATAAAATTTTAGTATAAATAATAATCTTTTTTATTCTTAATTCTAACTCTAAATATGAAACTTATTATTTTAAAATTTTTTACTTAATTTAATAATTTTGATTTTATGTTACATCTGATCCTTCAATCTAATTGGCAAAAATCACATGATGAAAAAATCTTGTAGATGAGCTACTAATGTCACAAATACTATTTCAGTCACAGAAAGCCATATTCTTTATTGCAATCTATTCCTAGTAGAGATGGGCATATGTGAGATCTGCACATGATTTCATGTGGAATTATGTACATTATATGCAAGATTTTTTTGAATTCTGCATGGAATTTTTAATATAATTTTGAAATAAGATTATTGGCTAGTATTACCAAAATATCTGACTAGCATTAATATAATATCTGACCTGCATTAACATATTTAGCCAATTACTAATTAAAATTTACTTACTTATTTGCATACTATTTTACACATATATTTATTTATATATATGATAAAAATTTACCTTTTTTGCTATTAGTATCTTTTGCTTACATTACAAAAATATTCTTTATCATTAAGTCACTCTTTTAAAAATAAATAACATGCATAGTAATAATAATATTTGGAATTATTTTACAAAAATTGTATTAAATGAAACCTTTAACCAAGGACATGTTTAATGTAATTACAACTATTAAACCTTGTATAAAATATATGAAAATTTACTATTTTGATTGACCAATAGTAATGACCAAAAGTTTAAACTAAATTACTCAAATTTTTAGTAAAGAAATCATGGCCACCTATTAAGTAAAATTAGAGTTTAAAATTTTGTAGTTTAATGAATTCCACATAGAATTTTTGAAGAAACCATGATTTGCCTATTTTTAGGTACTATATATTCTGTAAAATTACATAAAATTTATATTACTAAAACTTATGTAAAATTTAATATATTGTAAATTTGTAAAATATAATTTTTAACCCTAAATAAAATACTGTATATTCTTGCATTAATTTTATCATTATACATACCCAAACCTTAAGCCAAAATTATTTATAATGCAGTTAAAGTGGCTAGTTGTACACTCTCTTTATATTGCTCCTTGTAGTTGTAATACAATCATTAGCCAAATATGCTATTAATAAAATCCTAGATCACAATTTTGTCAATCACAGTTGTTGGAAAATCAAAATTGAGGTTCAATAGTATGGCACCTAGATTTAATGAATCCTGCATAGATCCTATGCATCACATGCAGGATTTTTTGAAAAACCATGATTTGTCTATCTCTAATTCCTGATATAAGAAAATGACTCTTTATTAAAGAAGTTGATAGTACTTGTAATCTGAATATTGGTTTAAATTTTAGTGACTAAGTCTAAAAACCTATTGATAATATCAATATCTGACTGCTATATAGTTAATTAGCTAGCATCACTCAGTTCTAATAAATCTGATCCAAAATTCATGAGTTCTGTAAAAAACATTAAAATTTATGAAACATAGTTTAGCATAGTGTTGTCATGTTTACTATATCAAGATTTTTTTTAACTATACCCAATGTCCAAATGTCCACATGTTCAACAATGTTTACAGTATATATAAGCTTTAAAAAGTAATTTATTAATTTAAAGAATATATAATTATATATTTTTTATAATATTAAATATTTTTATTTAGAATGATAAAATAGATTAAATTAATAAAAATTTTGAGTAATTTTAATTGATTTATTTGTCCAAAAAATGCCTATATTAACACTGGTTTAGTACCCTCTACATATTTAAAAATGATTAATAAATTCTTTTAATTAAGTCTTTGATGATTAGTAATTATTATTTTATTTGCCCAATAAAAATTTTAATAAAAAAAATGAAAATTACAAAATATTTAGCATTAAGGCCTTTAAATTTACATTGGGTCATTAATTTTGTGTTTAAAAAAATTATTTTTTACAACTGTTTATTATTATATTTTTGATTTTACAAATAAATAT